CTTTTCTCGGAGCCTGGTAGGAGCCAGCTACAGGGTTCATCGGACTCCTCTCCACAAACACTTACCCGTCTACATCTTCGGTCTGTTCCTCTGTTCCTTCCCTGGACAAATATCTGTTGGGGGAGTTCTAGCTGCACTACAACATTCCAGGTGTGGGAGCCACGGAGAGAATTAAGTAGTTTGCATTTTGTAAACGCAAATTTCATTCTGTACTGTGACACGCCAATGGTAAATAAAGTTTGTACTGAGAAAAAGAAGTAATAAGTTAAAACATGTCAGGTAAGCGATTTGAGCTAGCTTTCCTTTTAAACTTCTTTGGTAGGGACTATAGCGAGTTAACTTTTATCAGTAGGCAAATCTAACGATCTCAGGTCATCTTCCACCTGCTTCTAAAACTGTAAAGCTTGACCTCGAGGCTTACGAGACACTAGGCTAGCTAGGAAGCTGGGCACCTACAAGTGGGAATTTGGGCTGAGAAGTTCAATTTTTCTTTGCAAGGTATTTGTGCAGCAAGGTGATTATACAGCAAGTACCCTCTCTAGGGACTGGTGTCATGAAAATCATAGAAAACAGGTGTTTTCATTTGGGAATGGTGTTTCTTTTCACAATATCCTTATGGTTTTTAAAATTTTTTTTTTTATCCTCACCTGAGGATACTTTTCCATTTTTTTTTTTTTTTTGTTCAGGTAGAGTGGGAGGGAGAGAGAGGAAGAGAGAGAGAGAAACATCAATGTGAAAGGAACACATCGAGTGGCTGCCACCCACACGACCAACCAGGGCCGGGGACAAACTGCAACCGAGGTACGTGCCCTTAGCGGGAACCGAACCTGGGTCTCTCCAGACCGCAGGCCGACGCTCTAACCGCTGAGCCAAACAAGCCAGGGCTCCTTATGGTTTTGATAAAATTCTGACCACTATCAAATCTCTCAAATCCCTTTTTTTTTATGAAATTATCAAATACCCCAAGGTCTCAATTAGACACGCAGTACAGCAAAGATAGGAAGGCAGCTACTACAGGTAGTAAGTACTGGTGCTCTGGAGCCTACGAACTCCAAGGAGGTCCGACAGGGATGCTGGATGCCTGAGGTCTACTGGGACCTCACACCCACTCACAGGTCCCCGTCGGGATGTAAGAAGCAGAAACTCTTGTCAAGGCTCCGATGAGTAGAGACGGGTTGAGTTTATCCATCAACAATCTCAAGCTCACACAGGCAGATGTGCCGCTGCCAGAACAGACCAGGCTTCGGAGGGGCTGCCTAATGATGACACGGGTCCCTTCTTTTGTACACTTGGGAGTGGTTTAGAGGTTGTCCCTCTTAGCAGGGGCGGGCCTTGCTTTCACAGCCAAAACACGAGCATTTATGGAAAGACGACAAGTGGTCATCTGACATTCTGAGATGATGATTCTGAATTGGGTTCAGTGTTCTATTTTTGTTCTCTCTCTTTGTAATATACTGTTTTGTGAAATGCACAAAGGTTTCTTAGAAAGTTCTGAGTCATGTCTTTGCTATACATATCTAGAGGAAAATTAACAAAAACGATGCTTTTAAAAGCAATATTTCTGGTAATTTTTTTTTTTTTTTTTTATCTTCACCCGAGGATATTTTTCCATTTTTTGTACAGATAGAGTGGGAGGGAGAGAGAGGAAGGGAGAGAGAGAGACAGAAACATCGACGTGAAGGGACACATCGAGTGGCTGCCACCCGCACAACCAACCAGGGCCAGGGACAAACTGCAACCGAAGTACGTGCCCTTAGCGGGAACCGAACCTCGGTCTCTCCGGACCGCAGGCGGACGCTCTAACCGCTGAGCCAAACTGGCCAGGGCTTTTTCTGGTAATTTTATTAGAAAATTTATTTTTGAAGCATGGTTTTGTTATAAACACACACACACCACACACACACACACACACACACACACACACACATAATTATGAGGTCTATATTTGCTAAAATATTAAAAATATCTTTTTGTAACAGTTGCCTTTACTGTAACTTATCTACATAAAAGATTTAACAGATGTACTTTAAATATGATGTGTCAAGCCCTGGCCAGTGTGGTGAGGCGTTGTCCTGTACACCAGAAGGTTGCTGGTTCAATTCCTGGTCAGGGCACATGCCAGGGTTGTGGGCTTGATCCCCAGTAGGGGGTGTGCAGGAGGCAGCAGATTGATGTTTTGCTCTCACACTGATGTTTCTCCCTCTTTCTCCCTTCCCCTCTCTCTAAAAATCAATTTTAAAAAAATCTTAAAAAAATAAAATATGATGTATCATAAGTCTGTATCAGTGAAACTATGATTGCTGATTTATTTAAGTTAATTATAACTTTAATTCTTCAAAACAATGCGTGCCCATTACAGTCACAAGATTGGCTTGCCTACTCCACCTCAGCTCGAGCCTCCGCGCTGATTCTCGTCTAAGCCTGAAGTTCTCAGAGGGTGCTTGTTACCAGAGAAATGGGTTTTTCCGCACCATAATTTTTAAAAAAAGGTAAAAATCTCCAATTTGTTCATACTAACTCCACCAATGGAGTAGATCCCTTTCTCTAGTTTTCCTAACTTGCTGAACGTTCAATTGTAGGCCATAGGTGGACCACGGATCTCTGCAAGAGGTCCTTATGTCGGTAGTAACCCACGTGATCAACTTCTGTGCATTGTCAAGTCCTGGGGACAAACGGGGACACATTAAAACATGGCCCACTGAGCAGGCCTGAGTCCCAGACTGCACCCCAAACTTATTTCTTTATTTTCTCTCTGCTTTCGCCTAAATTGAAACAACAACGCCACCATCATTTCCTTAAGATCTTACGATCAGAGAAGCTCTCCTGCGCAGTCTCACCCGATGGCAACACCTTCTCTGTGCTCTGTCTTTTACTCCCTCTTTGGCAGTGTAACCTGCGATCACTTTGAAAATGGTGCAAAGAAATGCCTTCCATTAACTTCCAATTTATTTCTTTCCTATTGCGATCCTAAAATGGTAATGTAATTCAGTTGAAAGGTTTGTCCCTCTGACAAAATCATGCTGCTGGGTAACATTCATTTTATTAAAAGGGAATCTGTCAAATAAGAGAAGCAATTTGAGCTACTGGAGGACTCTGCTTCACGTACAGGCCCACTCCAGGAAAGTTGTATGAAATATATTTGTATATTGGATCATTTCTTTTTCTGAATTTCATTATAATCTTGGAGGTGTGCGCCTACAGAAAACAGTTTTGCTTCGGCATATCATCATAAAAATCACACCAAGGAACTCGATATTCATTTCAAGGACTATTTTGCATTGGTCCACATGCCACTTCTGTGCACCTCAGTTCCCCTGGTGGCCTGGGCAGGGAAGGAGCACCGGAAATGATCGCGCACGCGCATCCACCACAAAGTACAGATACCATCAACACACACGGCGGCTCATCTTTATTTCATTATGATTGACCTCTCAAAATATGACTGTGCAAACAGCACACGCCTGGCCACTGTCCCTCACCTGTGACAGAAGGCCCTGCTAGATGAGTGTACACGTCCACCGGCTTCCAGGGTGACCAGCAATGTCTGACTGTCATTTAGTGTAAGGTTCTTTTAAGCAAAGTAGATTCTCCAGTGCTTGATTACAAAAAGTTAAGCTCTTTTATTTGATAAGAATACCATGTGTCTGTGCAGAGGACCTGAATGGACACTTCTCCAAAGAGGACATACAGATGGCCAACAGATATATGAAGATGCTCAACATCACTAATCATCAGGACAACGTAAATTAAAACCACCATGAGATATCACCTCACACCTGTCAGAAAGGCTATCATCAATAAATCAACCATCAACAAGTACTGGTGAAAATGTGGAGAAAAGGGATCCTGTGTGCACTACTGGTGGCAATGTAAACTGGTGCAGCCTCTATGGAAAACAGTATAGAGATTTCCCAAATATTAAAAACAGAACTACCATATCACCCAGCAATTACGCTTCTGGTTATTTATCTAAAATCTAAAACACGAATTCGAAAAGATATATGCACTCTTAGGTTCCCTGCAGCATTATTGACAATAGCAAGATACAGAAGCAACCTGAGCGTCCATCAATAGACGAGTGGTTAAAGAAGATATGATACATATATACGATGGACTATTACTCAGCCATAAAAAGAATGAAATCTTGCCATTTGTGGCAACATGGATGGACCTAGAGGGAGTAGTATGCTAAGAGAAATAAGTCAGACAGAGAAAGACAAATACCATATGATCTCAATTACATGTGGAATCTAACAGACAAAACAGAAACAAACTCACAGATAGCAAAGACAAAGGATGGTTTCCAGATAGAAGGGGAGTTGGAGGGCTGAGTGGCAAAGATAAAGGGATTAAGAAGTATAGATGGGCAGTTATAAAAGCAGGCCTGTGGACATAACGTACAGCACAGGGAATATGGTCAATAATATTATAATAACTATGTATAGCATCGGATGGGTACTAGACTTATCAAGGTGATCACTTTGTAGTGTAATAAATGTCTAATCACTATAGTGTACACCTGAAATCAGTATAATATTGTATATCAACTGTGACTGAAAATAAAAGGAAAAAAAATAATATTGATAGTACTGACGTAATAATCAGCCAAGTTCCTTGTAAATATTTATAAAGTTCCTCTTTACTAACACGTCTCAAAATAGCCTTATCACATGGGCAAGTGTAAACCCAAAGGGTTTATACCTAAAACCACAAGCTGTAGCATGTTCTCAAAGGGCTGTTGCTAATCTAGTAGGTCCGCACGCAGGACAGTGTGAAACCTTGGGCAGAGGGATGCGAAGGGGACTTAGGGTTTGGGCTTCTCACCTCACGGGTCCCTTCCAAGACCCCAAGTCTCATTCTGTCTTCTTTTTCAGAAAGGAGGAGCCAAAATGCTAGAGGCTCCAGGTGCGCCCCCAAACCTGGATCCCTTTAAGATTATATTATCATTTTAGATCATAGCACAGCGTCTTATAATCCAAGTAGAATTCTGACATACTTACTCAAAAAACGTTGTCCAGCCAGTCTCATCGCTTTTGGTGGCCAAGAGGCCACTGCTGCCGTGATAAGTGAACAGGACCAACTCCAGTCCTTGAGCCGTCATGCTCTTCAAACACCCGTTCGTCCCTATGGTCAACCATATCACTTGGTTGTCAGGAGACACCACGCGAACTGGCATCCGATTCGGGTCCCGTCTGATTCGAAGGGTATTGCCATTGCTGTCGGTCACAGCCGTGATGTCATTATCGTTGCTGTAGCTGAAGTTGTACAGGTAGTCACCGGTGACCAAACTCACAGTGTACTGGTGTGTGCCATTGATGTCAAAGATATAGAGTTCTTGATCAGTCGGAGAGGCAACTTCATAAAAGTTCATCGAGTTGAGCAAAGGCTTATTCTTTGACACAGCCCGGATCCGAATGTTCCCTAGATCTGCAATATACAGGGTGCCATCTGGGGAGGCAGCGAGGGACGAAGGGGCACTAAGTTTGGCATCTTTGGCATAGCCATCGCCACTCTGGTAACAGTCGCAGTTGGCATCGTTTTTGCAGTCACACTCTGAAGGTATCCCCGCAACCAAGGAGATCTCCCCATCCGTTGTGACCTGCCTTATGCGGTTAATTTTCTTCTCGTCGGTTTCCGTGATGTACAGGACCCCACTGTAGGACACGGCAATGGCAGTGGCGGATTCCAGCGTCGTCTGAACCGCGTGCTTCCCCACGGAATACTCCACTCCTGGGACCTGGCAGTGCATGGGCCGTCCGGCCGCGATGCGCACTTGTCGGTTTTCGGTGATCTGCAAAACGACGTTATTGTCCAGCACAAAAATGGAGTTGTCCATAGGGTTGATGGCGAGGTCGGTGGGCCATTCCAGACGCACCTGCATGAAAAAGAAGGGGTCTGCTTAGCCAGCTGCTGCACTGCCGGTAATTTGCCAGAAGAGTACATTAGACCATTTGGGGGAAATTCCCCTTAATTTGATAAACTGTTTTAAAGTTGTTTTTTGAATAGCTACAGTCAAATAAACTCAGAAAGTTTGAGTGAAAATAAACGTAGCAAACAGCATTTTATTTAAAAAAATGCAGCTTAATGAAAGATTTGCAAGTTACAGCCAAACAGCTAATGAACCACTAAGTAGTGAGTTAACAGATATCAATGACATATGAATGCCACGTTTCTGTTGGCCGTAATAACCACCCAAAGTCAGGGCTTCTACACTGCAGGTACATTCATGCTCTGTTGTGTTTTCAATAAGGCCCCTAGTAAAGTTCCAACTCTAACTGTAAGTCCCTTGGGACTGATCACAGTGGGTTCTCTCTGCTACCTAGGGAGCTCAGGCAATCAAAAGATTAGAAAGTAATCGCTTTTGTTCTTTTTGGAATCCCTGCATGCTGCTACTTTACTGGTATTTTATTACAAATGCTTAGCATTTCCTAGTGATAACTGTATCTCATAGAATTCATCAAATGCAGAACTATAGAAGAAAGTAATTTTTTATTAGCTCCTCACATACATTTACATGGGACAGCTTTATCCCAACTACCACCACACGTGATACATGCAGTTTCATACAGAGCAACCCCAGTCAACTGACAGCCAATCAGGGCATGTCGAAGAGACAAGGACTCAGCCAACTCCTGTAACTACCTGGCTGATGTGCATGCTTGTGTCACAGGTTAAAGGTCTGGCTGACGTCAGATCATTAGAGCCCAGGAGAGTCGAGATGATTCCGTTTTGATCAACTTTTCTGATCATGGTTCCATCAACAAAGTAGATTAATCCATTCTTATCAATCGCCATTCCTTGATCCAAGAGAAGCCAATGTTAACTAGGTTTTCAGAAATGATTACTGTGATTCAACTTTTAGGCCCATCACTAAACTCAACATTGAACCCAATGGTAACATGGGTGATAGTTAGCAGGTAGGACTGTAGATTTCAAACACCTCAGGGAAAACCCAACACAGGAACTCACAGTCCAAATAAAATGTAAAAATCAAGACAGAATCTACATTTGTAACGATTCCCACTTTGTGTGTGAATCATATATGTAGTTACTTGCGTATTAAATATAAAACTCTGTATAATGTTGTCTATAAATTATAGAAATAGGTCAAATTCTGTTACCCTGAACTGAGTAACTCGTCTATTCCAACAAAAATAGATCTAAGACAAGGGTAGTGCTTTGTTGACCTTGTTACAATGGAATTTGCTATTATGAATAATTCAGTACAACAAATACTTTCTTTCTAGCCCTTGTTCACATAATAGTTGCAGCTATAATGGAAAAAAAAAGCCCTCAACCAAAAAACCTTGTAATGAATGGCATAATACATGAGCAAGGAGTCAGTCCCAACTGGTTTAAAAGCTAGAAACCTTTATCACATGGAATTTTAGCCCTTGTTACCCCCAGAAATCCCTCCTGGAGTTTTTTCCCATGGCATAGAAACAAAAGCCTAATAGCTCGGAACTGGGTGAGGGCTAATAGGTGGCTTCGTGGTGGTGTTTAAAGAGGCCTGGGTCTCATTCACGACAAAGAAGTTCCAGGACAATGAAAGAATTTGGGCACTTATTTGACATTTAACAGGATGTGTGACCTGAATAACATAGAGTTGCTGCTTTATTCTTTGAAATGTTGGAAAAAAAAAAAAAAGGTATAACAATAGAAAATGCCGAGAACCCAATATTTACTGTAAAATCAACTTGGGCTTCTAGCAGTTTCACGCGCAACAGCTTTTCCGGAACACAGCCGAGGGGGAGACGTCAGCCCCAGCATTAAACACAACAGGCACTCGGCGGGTCGTCTACCTTCTTCTAATTAAAAAGAAATCCCCAGATTGGCAAATGTCAGTACCTTTGGGACTCATGAGGGTGGCTTCCACGGCCTTCCCCCCGTCCCCACACCTGGCTTCATCGAATGGAAGGCACTGCTCCCCGGTCCCCGCGACCACTTCAGCATTTTTCGTCAAGTCCTTGGCCCCCGTCAGCGACTTTGGGCGGTAAATCCGGCGGGTGTTAGTGTCCGAAACGTACAAGTCTCCTGTGACGGGGTCGGTTGCCAGGTAGTATCTATGGGCTGGGTTGCTGCTGTAAGAAAGGATCACGCATGAACACCACAAGGGAGTTGCTCCCAATACGCACAGAAAGTCAGAGCGAAACAGAACCCATCATGAGAAACACTGTGGACTGCGAGCCTTCACCAGACTGGACGCGAACAGCATGCTCAACAATGACCTAACAGCAGCGTCAAAGAACGGGTGCCATCTCGGACAGGACTGTGTTCCTTCCTTGCTTGTTGCTGATGATTTATTCAAACGACCATCTTAAAAAGAATTACCTTTAGAAGGTGATATGCTTCTAGCTTAAAACACAGAAGCACGTTCTCTAAATCTTTGTGGTACGATGCCAAGCCCTCAATAAATTAACTACCCTTGAGTGACAGACATAAAGCTCCCTCTAGGGGTAGGGTGTCCCTATCAGACTGTCAGGTGAAGTCCAATACACCTTCAATCTCACTTGCACCTGTCACAAGGAACTCTCCTGTTTTCTCCCCACAAAACCCAATCGGATGGGACACCTGGCCCTGAGCCCGGGGCAGCGTGTCTTCTTGTTTGCTCTGCCACAGTCCAGCAAAGTCACCCGATGCAGTCCTGAGGTCTATCCTGAGCTCTGGGGTTGGATACGACAGTGAGGTCATCCGTGCAGGAGGCAGGCTCAGCTGTGGCCTAAGGCCGTGCTCCACAATGGTGCGACCATCACCTTCCCTTTTAAAGTGTGTACGTTAGGCCGCTCTAAAACCTGTCAATGAATTGGGTGAGATGGAGACATTTGCTCACAAAACATAGTGCCTCCGTTTCAGAACCATAAAGTAGTGCCAACGTACACTATCTGATGTCCCATTACCTGCAAAAACGGTCAGACCGACATCAGCAACAAATGGGCACCCCGGGACAGCTTCCTACCAACTCTCAGCACCACATCCTAGAATTCATGTGGTTGTGTCCCCTGTGCAAATGTTGTCTCTGAGAAAAAAATTCTAAGAGTGTCTGTGATTTGGTGTCTCAACCAAGATGTTAAAACACAGGAATCCACCCAATCCCATGTGTCTCCTGCTGACAAACTTGATCTTACTGATTCTCATTCTCTCTCTCTCTGTCTCTCTCTCTCATGCACACACAACATATGCTTGTTTCCATTTATCGTATGTGTGACGATCTAAACTACGTGGTATATCTCTAACTACGTGGCCGTATTTATTCTCAACAGCGGGGCAGTGGCTTTCTCGTTACTAGTCAGGTCCCGGGGAACCCATTCCCACTGCTCTTGCTTCCGAGTGGTGAACTCATGCACCCTGTCGCTCCTGTGAGATTCTGTGGTTGGGATACCAGCTCCTGGCTCCCCGAGCGGTTCTCACACTGGTGGAGGGCACCGCCGACCCCGTGGAGTCCGCCGAGCCCTGCGGAGCCCTGCACGCCAGCTCTGTGGTCCCTTTTCAGGTCTCTCAGATCTTTCAGGGACACGAGACAGATTAGAGCAAGAGGCCTTGGTGTGTAAATATGTGTGAGAGTGAAAAGTGAAAGGGAGGACTCCTAAAGAGGTGTAAGTCATTTGAAATAAAAACATTTCCGAACTTCTGGGTTATACCACACGATCAACTTGCCATGCTAAGTGTTATTACAGCATTTTCCTAAGTTGATGCCCAGACTTTTTAATGCAGCAAGACATGATGTGTGCCTTAATGTGGTGGTTTTTTACTCTGTAATGAAGTGAAAAGTCATATATAAATATAAGCATTCAGAACATTTTTTTTTTTTTGGTATGTGCCCCTAGCAGGAACCGAACCCGGGACTCTCTGGTCCGCAGGCCTATGCTCCAACCGCTGAGCCAAACCGGCCAGGGCTCAGAACAATTTTATAGAGGGCTGTCCTCCCTGGAAACAGTCTGATATTGACAGGCTTGGTCTTTCAGGCGACAGAGTTGCAACTCTGGGTTCACTGTGAAAGACGTGACATCGGAGAGACTCCTCTGTCGTTCCTGTCTCCCTGATCGTATACTGATTACGAGTAGTTCTGTGGTTGTTGTGAATGTGCACACACACGATTTATTTTCTTGTCAGCTGTATATCTAAGAGCATGACTTCCAGACCAGACTGCCTGGGTTCAAACCCTCATGTCGTCACTCACTGTGTGACCTTGGGCACGTTATCTAACTTATCCGCGGCTCAGATTCCTGACTGGCAAAGATGCGAACAATAATCCGTACTCCACAGGCCGCTGAGGATGGCATGAATGGCCACGAGAAGTCCTCGGACGGGGCCCAGTGCGGAAGCCTCACATTGCTTCTCTCCTACCTCCTCGCACACGGCAGTGTAGCTTTTGCTTTCTAACGCTAGTCCGTGTTAACTAAAATATGCCTTGCCCTCTGCAAATCTTAATAAGGGAAAATACGGATCTAAACTCGGATAGGTTCGAATTTGTTTCTGTAGTCCTGCTGCTATGACAGCAGAAAGAACTAAAACAATGCAGACCCTTTTTAAAACACCCGCTTTGAACAGTCTGTAGGGTAGTGATGAGAGAGAAATGAATAATGCATCCTTTTCCATCTCGTCTCCCATTTTGAGAAAAAACACACACACACAAAACAATGGCTTTTTCAGTTGCCTGCTTGAGTAGCAGGGACATGCTCTTAGTTACGGGATCTGAGTTTTCCTGGTGCAAAAATCACGGACAGACACTCACGTCCTGAGCCGTGTCTTTCGGGGCACCAGTACCTCTCCCCTGCAGGGGACGGTGATGAGGGCGCGTCAGCCGGGTGTGGCACTCTGCATCACCTCCTCTGGAGACAGAAATTTCTAAATCAAGCAGTGTAGGTCGATGGTTTGAAAAATGTCTGCCAATGAAAGATCTAATTTTGCACAACTCCACTGTCCAGAACAAGCGTGGGGAGCATGTGACCCCGGAGCAGGGAAGTGTTCTGCGCACAAGGGGGAGGACATGAACTACCCTTCTCCCGGGTACTTCTTTGCAGAGAGCTCTTTGCAGAGCCCACCCCTCCGAAATGAAGAGAGGGACCGTCCTGACGCACAAGAAAAAAACACATAAGCTGGGAAAGTTCCTGTTGACAGACTGGTGGCGGAGAAGCTCTGGGCTTATCTGTGATGGGCCTGGGGTTCAAAGACACCCCGACTGGAGCCCTGAGATTTCTGGCAGGGTGAGCTAGACCCTGCTCTCCACTTCCCGCGGGCATGTGGGGGCAGATGAGGGGTGACTTTTATGATCGGTAATTCATCTCGTGTGACATCGTGTGGACACACTGCCTGCAAACCGTCGCTGGTAGCTGGACGGGCTGGACTCTGTTCAGCAGGGGGACAGTAACGACCTCTGTGTGACTGGTTGAGATTTCCACTTCCAGAAAGTTTAAAATCACACGAAGATTTTGACTAAGAGAAGCAAAATCAAAGACATTGAGGCCAAGTTCAGACCCTTTAGTCTCCTGCACTTTGGTTTTGACTCACCCCGGACCGCCTAGATCGTCACCATTACCAAGTCACCTTCCCGGGGGTCCTCGCCCGTCAGACACAGAGCCCGGGCCACAGGCAGACTAGATCTGCTCATGGCTTTGTCGCCATCCAACCTCTCAGACGAGGGGAACAGCAGCAAAGAGCAAGCTATGACATAGATATTATCAGCACTGTTATCTTTCTAGTTGAAAATGATGTAAAGCCTATAGCACGCGGAGCATTTGAAGAAGCATAACTTCCACTTCTGTATAAAAGCAAACTATTTTCTGGCTGCCAAAAGACTACCGAGATGACGGAAAGCAAGGTTTCTGTGCCGGCTGGATTTTTTAAATGTGACGTCAGTAAAAAGGGCTGAATCAAGTTTTTATAATTTGTATCTGAACTTGAACGGATTCAAATTCACACACGTGTGCCTGACACGTCCTCTGATCTTTTAATTGGTAGTAGAAAATTCACAAAGTTGGTTTTTAGCTCTACATGTTGAAATGCCCCTTCACTTATCAATGAATTAAGTTCCTTTATTTGGGAATTTTTAAGAATTGGAATAAGCTAAAATTTACTACCTACAAAAGGAGTTTGTTAGTAAATGAATACTTCAAGCATCATAGGGAGAAATGTTAGCATGTCCAAGAGAAACTTATTTAAGCCTTTCTCTTACATAAAAAATTTAAGATGTTGATTGAGTAGTATTTATATCTATTCATTAAAGTATACCTAGGGACTTTTATTTGCTATAATATCCTGGCAGTACTTATTAACTTTGGTATGGCAGAATATTCCACATTTTAAAATAATAAGACTGTGTTTTTATATGTATCATTTAATACTTTTATTAATTAGTTTCCCCACTAGTCCAATGAATGAGACTGTAGACAGTATTTAAAATGTAGTAAGAGGACCAGAAGCATGCATTTATATTTTACTTAATCATTAACAACTGACTGTACTGTTCATTTTTATAGATGTTGACACATTTTTCTATTTATTTTTCTTCCGATCACCTACTTGTAGGTCTTTCATGACTTTGACCCTAGTCAGGAAAATGGGGGGAAGGAGCAAGCCAGGCGGGTCCCCATTAACTATAAAGGGAAAATGGTCTAGGTAGGCAAAGAGGAAGACGCACCTGAAAAGAATTTTAATTTTTGAAGTTAAATTGAGATGCTCCAATGAGCTCAAATATCTTGGTTTTGATTAATCAACGAACAAGTTAATCAAATATCAATTTAGATTAATTAGTTATTAAGCAAATGGCATCCCTATTTTTGTCAATGATTTTGTCATCTGATGACTTGGGCTCAAAAACCTTGGATATTTTCTACATCTTCCTGTTCCTTATCACCCATATACAGTATGTCCATTCCCTGAACTTCTTTTTATTGGTTGATTCCCTTCCTAGACAGCCATACTATTTTGGGCGCCTAGCATCTCAGTTTTCTAACTCCTCATCAAGCCATCCTGAACAGCGCTACCAGATTAATCTTCCTAAAAGGCCACCTTGGGTAGGCCGCCAACTTGTTCAAGACCAGAAGAGGGTCCCCACCATCTCTGCTACCCTACGGGAGGAGAGCAATTCCCTCGCGCACTCGGGGCCTCGGCGATCCGGCCCTTACCTGCCCCTCTACCTGCACCCCTCACTACAACCCACACGAGCCCTCTCTCTCCCACGGCCTAACAACTTCCCTTGCTCTCTCTTCTTGCTTCGCCACTGCCTCCTCCTTTCTTCTGGCTGTCCCATGTAAACAGACTTCATTTTTTGACCTTCATCAAATATCGACCCCTCAAGGAAACTTCCTCACCACAGTCCCATCTCCCAGGAACCTCTTCCTCCTAGAACTACTCTCACAGCCTAAGCCATGCACATGAGTGTCAGAGAATGACACTGATAATGTGTAGTCTGCTCCATACATATCGTGGGTCCCCTGCTAGGCTGTGACTTCTGAGAGCACGGACTTTGCCTTCTACTACGAGGGCAAAGTGGTCAGTGATCAGGTAACATCCATTTAGTGAAAGATGAACATCAACATGAAACCCGAACCGTGTGTTTCACATGCACAGGAAGGAAATGCAGGAGCACAGCTACAGCCACGATCACAGACACGGGGGAAGGTTAAGGAGCATCATGAGAGAAGGATTATGAGTATCACCGCCCAACACCGAGAGTTAGCACAGAACGAGCTCATATTATAACGTATTGTTAGTAATTGCGTAGCTCTGACCGCATAGCTGTTTCTTCCAGAGAAAGAGATTATAGGGCTAATTAATTTGTCAAATGATTATGAAATAAACCTAGTATTCTGAATACCCAGGGAATGACCCCCTAGAAACCTAGCCATTTGGACACACAAAATCGGGCCGGGGGCAGTAGGAAGAACACACTTTTTGGAGTGGTTCGAATCTCTGCTCCCCGTTTCTCAGTTCTGTACCTTGGGGAAGACAAGGTACCCTCCTCGAGCCTCAGTGACCTATTGGGGAACACCAAGGGCAGCGGCGTGGCTCCGTAGCAGCGTGTGCAGAACGCCTGGCACGGGGCCTGGCCTGCGACAGGCAGCCTGGTACAAGCTAGCTGCTTGCTACCTTTTCTGCACCGCCTCCGGCCTCTCAGAGCCGGGGCACGCCCGTCCGCCTCTGCTCTTTCCTTCACAGCGTCCAGGAAGCGAGGCCAGAAAGAATGTGAGATTCTCCTGTGGTTTCTAACAGCAGAGCTTCGTGTGCTCAGTATTCGGGAGGAACCTGGTGTCACCTCCGCATGTGACTGAGCCGTCAGCTGGTAGGATCAGATCAACAGGGGGTCTTGAGAAAAGGTCACGGGACCATGCCGGGTCATTCTGCTATGTAAGAGCTACACGGTTTCCCACAGTGCTTTGGAGTTTATTTGCTACATGTTCATCTCTATACGACCATTTGAATGGGTTATGTTGACTCACCCACTCAAAGACCTCACATAACTGCTGCAAATGTTGCCATCTGATGTCCTTGCAGTAGACATCTCAGTGGCCAAACTGGATCTAGGATGTCCAATAGGTCTTGCTTTTTTGCTAGCTTTACTCTAAAACATATTGTTTTTGCCCCTTTTCTGCTGCCTGGAGAAACGTTTTCTGTCACAAGTGTCTACGTACAAGTTCTTCTTGTACCTTCTCCAGCTAAGTGCCCACAGCAGAGAATCTGAGAAACTCCTGAGCCTCTGTGTTCGCTTCAACTGTGTTCATCCCGGGCTTCGAAGAACGCCTTTCCCTCCATCAGGGGGTCCATGAAAACACTGCCTCTTCAAACTCCGATCTGGTAACTGTCTCGACTTAGGCAAATATAAATGACGGCGGTGATGGATTTAACAGGAAGGTAATAAAGTTTAAGCCTTAGGGCCGCTCACTCGTGTGAGTTCCTTCCAAGCCCAGTGAGAGGTCTGGCAACAAGTTCACACGATCTGATGTTTTTAAAAGTTGCCAAAGTAAAATATTTTGAGATTCTTTTTCTTGAACAGAGTCCCCTACATCGAATAAGCTTTGGGCCCAATATACCAGGATCTGCCCTGGCTGTCGGTCAAAATGAACTCTCCTACTGTGCTTTCAATTTTGCCCTGTTCAATACGGCTCAGACTCTGTGAGCCAGGAACTGAAACTCAGAAATATTTTTTGTTATACGAAGATGCCAGTTATAATAATTTTTGGTAACAAAATTTATTTAATGAATCAACTTGAAAATACTTGTCAGATTACTGTACATACTGTAATTTGCAATCAATCACGTCATGTTAGTTCATTAAGCAGTTTTAATTCCTCAGACATTCTGTGATACTGAGTTTCCTCTCTCATGATGAAATGTTCTTAGAAAACGATGTCAGAGCATCACACTGAAATGTAAACAGGACATTCGAAATATATAATAACCTTTAAACAAGATGCTTACCTATGTCTAAAATCTTTATTTCTTGGTGGAAGCAGATAAAAGAGGTAAAAAGCACAGTTAGAAAAGGTTTCTACAATATAATGAGTTGAATGCTGAGATTTAAATTATTTGTATGGAAAACTGCCAACTTAAACAGAAATAACACTGGAAATAAGTTTTGTAGGTCAAGGCTTATCAAATAATTTACAGAAGTGAATGATTTCGATAATCACACTTAAATGAACATAGCAAAGACAATAATTTGTTACTGTAACTATTGGCATTCTGGGTAATCAGGTAGGAAAATAATTGTAGGAAAATATTTTATGCCTTCCTTTTTTCAACCCCTGTGAAATAAAAGAGTAACAATATATATCACAAGGTTAGTCTAAAGACAACCAAAGAGATTTAGAAATTATACTTCTATCCTACTGGAGAACAGGAAATTCAGTGCAACCAGAGAGACATTTTATGTATTAGGTCACTTTATACTTGTTCATATATTTACTGCAAAATATATACATGTTTTGCTTTTCCTAGCTTTAACCAAGAATCCAGCTTCTTTCTAGGGAGAGTTGTAAACATTGGGGAAGGCATGTATAAACAAATAAATGAGGACATTCAGATTTAACTTTTTTTTTTTTTTGCAAAGGCCTGCTTAGCTTTCATTAAAATCCCAAACGAAGGAAAGACGTACCTCAGTTCCAGCACACTGGTCACATTTCCCGAAGGGAATATTCGGCGCACGTAGTTGAAATCCCCCACGTACAGACTGCCGTCGATGCCACAGGCCAGCGCCACGGGGGCCAGCAGTTTATTGCCGTCCGCCTGCCCGTTGCAACTGGGGCACGAGATGCTGCGCCTGCGCCCATTGCCCATGATGCTGCTGACCACGGGGGGCTGCTGGGAGATGAACTGGTTTTCCCCATTTCCCTTGTACAGAATACCTAGAAGAGACGAAACACGTTGCTCTTGTGGCCGGAAGCATAAGGATGAGCAGTGGACGAGTTTACTCCAGGTCTAACTAGCATCCGCTGCCATGAAGGTTTGGACTAGAAACACTTTTCTTTCAAGTTCCATTGGAAAGAACTCCACTCAATTACCTTCTGTACAATATCCTATGACAAAATACACAGGGTGAATGCCCAAATGCCATCAAGGAGGAATTTAAATGCCCAAATGCCATCAAGGAGGAACTTAAAGACTGTCTGGTGAAAGAAACAGAGGACTAACAAGAAAGATGAGAAACCCACGTTCTCCACATCAGTGATTCTCAAACTTGGCTACACCTCGGCACTGACTGGGGAGCTGAGGAAACTACCACTGCTCAGATCTCACCCCAAGATTCTGACCTAATTGGTGTGGGGTACCACCTGGGCAATGAGATTTTAGAAAACTCTCCAAAAGACCCTAATGTACAACCAAGTTTGAGATCCATGCTCTACATAATGTTCTTTAGGGGATAACAAGTTTACCTGTTAAATGATGTTGAAAATATTATAACTTGATACAATTAACAAAATTGTGCACCATAATATGAATTTTTTCCTTAAGAGTTTTTTTTCACTGGCGTTTATTTATTTTTTAGAGAGAGGGAGAGGGGGCGAGAGAGAGAGAGAGAGAGAGAGAGCGAGAGAGAGAGAGACTTCGATTTGTTGTTCCATTTATTTATGCATTCATTGGTTGATTCTTGTCTGTGCCCTGACCAGAGATTGAACTTACAACCTTGGCATACTGGGACAATGCTCTACCCAACTGAGCTACCTGGCCAGGGCCCATCATTGTTTTTTTTTTTTTTTAAAGTCATAAGTACTTTATGAAAAACAAAGTTAGAAAGTGTATAGCAAACCCCCAATATTCTACTACACTGTCAAATAATATACAGCTTGCTTAGACGCTTGTTTGATATAAGAAGGCACAGTCTGGCCCGTGTGGCTCAGTGGATTGAGCATCGTCCCATGAACTGAGAGGTCCCGGTTCCATTCCAGGTCAGGGCACATGCCCGGGTTGTGGGCTTGATCCTCAGTAGGGGGCGTGCAGGAGGCAGCTGATTAATGTTTCTCTCTCACATCAATGTTTCTTTCTCTCCCTTCCTCTCTCTAATTAATCAATAAAAAACATATTAAAAAAAAAAAGAAGGCACATATTGACAGTTATTCAAAATTTCAAACTGTTGTGGAAGGGCCAATTATTTAAAGTGAATTCTCCTTTACAGCATGAATGTGCCAATACTTTCAAGAAGACGCCATGCTAATCTATTCCTTTATGGTCTTCAATGAAAATCTGAGAAAAATCCCAAATGAATATTACATATTTTCATAGTTAGAAAGTAGACTTGAGCTGAGATTCTAATTTTAGTCATTCACCAGGATTATATATATAGATCAATGGCTCCAATTCAGTCTGATGCCTTGTGCATGGTCCGCTGTCCTTGTCCTGTGTGTATTTCATGACCCTTCTTGACGTGCTATCTGCATACACCACCTGCTGCTTTGACTTTCGGGCACATTACACGTAATGAATGGTCTACCCTGCGAAGCAGCTTCTCCAAGCCAACGCGCATATATTTTTTTTAGCAGATAAACTGTTAGAATCAGTCTCGTGAAAGCACAGACAGGAAACTTGAGAGAGCATTTTTTTCCCTCCCAGTTTGGGGGAATTTTAAAGTGAAGAAGAGATCAAAATAATTATGCTCCCCTTACAGCTCAGCACATTTTAGGGGGATTCCAGGATTACTTTTTTTAATGCGTTGCTATTTGGGCGATGTTACATAAGAACATCAGGAAAGATAAAACAGGTTTGTTCATAGTTAAGGAAAAATGACCCAAGGAAGACTAGATCATGACAACAGATCAAATGCATTTTGCCTTGAATATTCAAAGAATACATTAATGAGACCCAAGCTCCTTCTTTGTGTGATTATGTTATTTGACAATTGTGGAATCACAATCTCCTAGGAGAGCCGGTTTCGTGGTTTCCATCAGAAGAATCCTGCCCTACTGTGTCTGGCTTGCTCAGTCACTGCTTTGAATGACTGGTCTCGCACGGCCCTCCTCTAGTATGACAGAAGAGAAAGGTGAGCACTGGAATATTTATTTCCACGTTGCAGGCGCCTGCACAAAGCCTGCCACCGTCTGCATTTCCGCCTTCCCTTCCTCCCGAAGGTATTTTCATCCCTCTTGTCGTGAGTGCACGGCACTGTTTCTTCAGTTGGACACCTGTCACTTTGGCCCGTCCCTGCTTGCACGCTGTTCTTGGGTAAATTCTGAAATCACATTCAGTTCGCTCCACAGACAGCTTACCTCACATTTCAAAGTAACATCTAGTTTGTAATTTAGAACATGTTTTTGGAGGGCAGGATTTTGCGTAGTCCACTTTTTACACCTGAGCTGATACTTTAATAAAAGCGAACTACAGGTTATTCTGGGAGAGAGAGAGAGAGAGAGAGAGAGAGAGAATTTTTATCCCATATACCTACACAGAATAGCTACGAGCTCCCTAACCCACCTGAACACTCTCCTGAGTGCTGGGTGTCATCACAGGGCCGAATGACAGGGTACGGGCTTTCCTGACGCCCTTTGCTTGTCGTCTCCCTACTGGGTCCTAGTCTCTTGGGTGACACCCTGGGGCTAACTGGTTAACCTGACCCTATATTCTCATAATACCTAAAGTGCACCCAGAGCGGTTTCCCCTCGTTTTGTTTGTAAAGACCTTCTGAAGGTATACAGCCCATCCTGTGAACTGTGGTTTAAGTAATTTCATCAAGAGCAGCTACCAGCATTGGTTAGCACACGGCTTTGCATTCTGAAAGACCACGACGAAGCCTGTGTCACTAATGTCACACACTGAAGCTACCGCTGCCCAGGCACGGTGACACTGAGACAGAACGCAGGCAGCGCCCTCCTTGGCAGGGAGCTGCCCTTTTCCAACGTGTGTGCTACGTGGGCACCAGTCATCGGCTCTGCTCCCAAACTTCCGGTGCAAAGGGAACCGCAACCCGATGTCCAGGACACCGTTAGAAAGGGAGCAGAGCTTAGTGCTGCTGGACGGTCGGTGCGAAGGGTTTTTCTGTTTTGTTTCTTACACTGACGGGCTCAGTCCTGTTCTCTTCTGGAGGTAAGACATCACTGCTTTAGACTGAGTATGTTTGCAGGGTTAAAATGCATCCTCTCCAAACTGGATATGCATATTTTTAAAAAGAATAAATATCGAGGCAACATTAATCTGGAAAAACGACCATTAATCATAGTCAAATATTTAGTTCTACTGAATGTTAAGTTCAACATTCTGAACTGTCCAAAACTGGTGCCCAGGCAGAGCCAGACAGACCGCTTCATCCAGGCCGAAGCCCCTCCCTGGCATCTGCAGAGGGAAAGCGAAGTTACCAGCACGATGCGCTTCAGGGCAGGAGTCTAGAGTAAGTGACCTAAACGTCCTGCTTTTCCCGCAAGTACTTAGCAATTATCCGAGATGTAGTCCGCATGTGGACAAAATTTAAAGACAACAGAATTTGTTCAGTATAAATTATATTCTTTAAAGATTAAGCTGGTCAAAATTTTTTTTACATTCTCACCCGAGGATATTTTTCCATCTATCTTCAGATAGAGTGGGAGGGAGGGAGAGAGAGGGAGAGGAACATTGACATGAGAGGGACACATCGACTGGTTGCCTCCCGCACGACCCCAACCAGGGCCGGGGACAAATTGCAACCGAGGTCCGTGCCCTTGACTGGAATTGGTTCGAGGGCTGATGCTTTAACGGCTGAGCCAAACTGGGCTAAGCTGGTCAAATTTTGCAAGTAATTTATTACTTTTGGTTTGTGATAGCTAAAATTTTTTTTTCCCCCCAGAACATATTCATTTGCATTTTATATAAAGTCTACTCCAAGTTTTATTCTGGATTCTTGCTTTTTTCCCCCTTCAGATGATTCATTAATTTTCCCCTAATATTTGAAAAGTCAAATAACAGTATATGGAACCCAATTTGAGTGTAAGAATATTTTTTTCTTAAATATACTCTAAGATCTATTAGAATGATGTCTAAGATCAATTAGATATATTTTGGTAAAGTAACATAAATTTTTATTTTTTCTTTACTTAAAAAGAAAATCCCCCGCCCTGGCCGGTTTGGCTCAGCGGTTAGAGCATCGGCCTGCGGTCTGGAGAGACCCGGGTTCCGTTCCCGCTAAGGGCATGTACCTCGGTTGCAGTTTGTCCCCGGCCCTGGTTGGTTATGCGGGTGGCAGCCACTCGATGTGTCTCTTTCACATCGATGTTTCTCTCTCTCTCTCTCTCCCTCCCACTCTATCTGTACAAAAAAATGGAAAAATGTCCTCGGGTGAGGATAAAAAAAAAGAAAATCCCCGTCCCTCCATTCTGGCTAAACCTCCCAAGAGCACTCTGCATCAAATCACTGTACAGTCAGATGCTCCTGAGTGATGAATCCGCCTTTCAATGCAGCGCCCAAGCCAGTCACTTACACTCTAGCGGGAAACTGTTTTGGTGATGAATGCATGAACATTTAAAAATTTGTTAATAGAGTATTGTCCAGTTCCCACTTCAGGCTTTTATAGACTTTAAAAGTACAGTTGGCCCTTGAACATGGATTTGACTGCTCAGATCTACTGATACATGGATTTTTTTCCCAATAAATATGTACAGTACTGTAAATGTATCCTCTCTCCCTATGACTTCTTTTCTTCTAAGAGCAGATCATTTAAAAAAAAAAATTTATTGATTTATTTTGTGAGAGAGAGAGGAAGGGAGAGAAACATCAAAGTGACGGTGAAATCTACCGGCTGCCTCCTGCACGCCCCCTACTGGGGATCAAGCCTGCGACTCCGACACGTGCCCTGACTGGGAATCGAACTGGCAACGTTTCAGTGAATAGGATGATACCCAACCCACTGAGCCACACCAGCCAGGGCCCTTCTGACTTTCTTAATAACATTTTATTTTCTCTAGGTGACTTTATTATAAAAATATTGTATCTAATCAGTTGTGTTTTGGGGGAGTCAAAATTAGACGCAGACTTTTCACTGTGCAAGGGATTGGTGTCCCCAACATCCCTGTCGTTCAAGGGTCAATTGTATATCCTTAGTCTTTTCCACTAATTTTAATCCTACCGCATCTATGGAATAAAATGTTGCTGCAATCTAATCAGCCTGGAGGTAAGCAATATTAACTATCTGTGAACAAGGTCTTACCATTCTGAACATCCAACACATGGTGTTTATCCAGTGTCCATCCGCCCATGTTGGAAGCATCTAGCTCGTAGCCTTGCAGGACGGCCGTCCTCTTTTCCCACAGAGTCAGGTCCAAGCACGACTCATACTCGTATCCAACTGACACTGGAATCAAGACAAGCCACAGTCCCCTTGTCATGACAGCAGACATACACTTCACCCCATCGTTCTGATAAACCTGCTTTTCCACAGTTGTGTTCTGAGACCATATTTCCATTTGCTTATGGGCAGAGTTTAGTTTTTTACATGAGAAGATTTGATCACATAAAATATGTTTTTCTGAAAAAAATGATCTCCGAATATTATTTTTGTATTGATTTAATAGAAAAGTAGCATATATATTTTTTTGGGGGGGGGGGCTGGTTGAGTAATTAGATCAGATAAATCAGCCCCAAATGGTGATCAGATGATAACCTCTAAAAATCACGTTTGCTCTCTGAATTATTAGAGCTATTTAGTTTCTGAGAGTATTAAGTTATGGACAACAATACATTAAGTTATGGATTCAATACAGCAAAAAAGCCATGTTATGACATTCTATTCATGTTAACAGGAATGAACAATAAAATTCACAGTCAATTCATATGAAGAAATCATAAAAGAAAAACCTCAGAGTTTAAGATGAAGTGTGGATTTCAAAACTGATGACAAAGTGAAGGGAGAAGTGGCAATTATCTGACTGATTTGAATTAATTCAAGTCCAAACTATATGTTAATTTCTGGAGTACAATGTTTGTTACAGAAAACGAATAGAACAAAACACATGTTATCCTCAGTTTTCGATGTTCTGAGGCTGAGTCTGATGCTAGTCTATGTATATCTCAACAAGTCCAGCTTCCATTACACTGTCCAGCCACCCAGTGAGGCAACCGGCTTGCCTGGTGTTTTAGGACTGTCCTTCCCAGTGACAATCCTACTGCCTTTCTTTCTGTCCATCTATTGGTTTCCATGGGTTACAATTATATTTCGGTTAGCTCTGATTTCAAGACAATTTTTTTTTTCGATGCCAAATATATGTCTATGGAACTTACCGACAGCTTCGGATAGACCATAGACCTTCTGATTATACGCATCTGTTTTATCCCATATGAAGGTGTAGGCCAAGTTCGGCGAGGCAGGAAACCACTTCTGGAAGAGCCTTCCAACGACAGCCACCATGAGGTGAACCTTCATCAGATTAAAGGGGATGACGGCCTGGGTCATGGTGATCTTGAGAACTGACTTATATCCGGCCGCTCTGGAGCTGAAGTAGGACAGTTTCAGGTCTGTCCCTGGAATCGTGGTTTCCTCGTGGAGGACCTAGGTTTGAATAAAGCAGAAGCTCCCAACTGTGATCCTGCGCAATCACGAGGTGAAATACATTGAAAAGAACCGAGTACGGCAACGGAGACGACAGAGTCACTGTTCGCAAATACCCATCTGAGCGCTTAGCTTATTCGACAGTTAGAAATGCTTCTGCTGCCAGCCCAGCTGTCCTCCTCCGAAAAGCTTCTTGTCATTCATCCTGAGTTCATCACCTCAGGTGTTACGCAGACAGCCGGCACCGTGACCGGAGCAGCAGGTGACATACACGCACGTGTTGGTTTATCGTCACACTGGGCTCTCACTAACCCATCTTCCACCCACTGCCCTGGAGGCTCGGAGCAGACATGGGTATGACGTCTGGCTCCGGACGGGGGTGGGGTCTGGGCCACAGACCTGGCCTCTGGCAGCCGGAAGCCCAATAAGGGATTAAACCTCTGCTCTGGCCTCATCCCCTCACCGGTCACAGTCTACAAAGATGGGAATGATAACAAAAAGGACCAGTGCACTTGGGTTACATTGTAGCACATTCCACACCCATGTCGAAAGGTAATCTATACTTAGTTAAACACTGAGCTAGGACTCACCACTGATCTCTGACATGACAGTAACTGAATTAATAGTTTCAAGCTGCATAAACTTTCCCTGAGCGAACAGCTAATGTATTACTGCAGGCACACAAAAGACACTCAATACACTGTTTGAATCGAAACTAGACTGTAAAACGTTAACATAATTACCTGCATAAGAATGATCTACTTTATACATTTTTTAAAAAAATCATACTCTTAACCCTACAATTTACCCATTGATGTGACTAGTTCAATGAATGCCAACAAATTTATAATGATGTATGCAAAATAGATTATGCCAAAATACTACTTAGTTTTTTTGAAAAATATATTTTACGTAGTAGATAAAAGTCTTCTTAAACAGTTCAGATTCTCCTTGTTAATACTCCTATTAGTTTGGTTAAACGGCCGCTCTCCAATGGCTTTCTACATATGCAGACGTCAAGGACTGCCTTCCATGTTAGAAAATCTTAGAACAGTCTTCAGTGTTTCTCTCCACCAACTCCTCTCAAGCAGAAACAGAAATGACGTATCTCTGGCGTCTCCACATTTTAATACCTTAAGTAGCAACCTGACACTGTGGGGGCAGCTGTCCCTTTCAGTGGAAACAATCGAATAGCTGCAAGTAGCCCAAGACAACGAACCGAACACACTTCCATTCTGTCTGTGATCAGCGTCGGCATGAAAACGGGCAGGACGATGCCCCCTTGTAGATTAAGAAGGCACTGCTATACCTGAATAGATGTGCCAATTTATTACAGTCGGGGTTCTTTACCAAACACATCAACTGAATTCAAACACAGACAGTCTTAGCAAAATAGTTTCTGAACATACAGAAACTTTTTAGAGGTCTGTTAGGCTTAGGGAGACCACTGCATTTAAGACTGACAGTATTTTTGTTGGATGTCGGGTGTGCGGTAAATAATCGAGACGGGACGCATTGTTCCCCAACCACTGGGGGAAATACCAATGGGTCAGTGTGAAAAACAGATTCTAGGTCTCCTGAACGGCCCTGAAAATACGAGTCATTGAAACCTAAGGTGTAAACTTTATTTTCTCTTATTTTCAAAATAATTTCTCACACATTTCATAGGTTTCTATAGGTAAGGCAATCTTTCATTAATACAGCTCCTGTGACCTTCGACGAACTGCTTCTCTGTCTCCAAATATCATGTGTTACCCTAATTTTAATAACTGATTATTGTCTTTGCCACCATTAACCTAGTTTCATGGAACACATACCTATAATTTAGTTCATTAAAACATGTGTTTCTCCTGTGTAATTTAGCTTGACCATGTTATTTGGCATTAGTGGGGAAAGCCAATCCGGCCAGAGGTGAAACATAAACCATTCCGCCTATTTTTGGCAGCTGTGTGATCTGCATTCCATCCTGGACCCCATTAAACATTCAGTTAGAAGTTACATCCTGCCAATTTTACGGTCTAAATCTCTGTCTAACCCATCCCCTCTTCTGCAAGTCCACTACCACTGTGACAGCTGGGCCCTCTCCATGTGTGCTGGACATGCATGGGACCACGGCGAGCACGGGCCTGGTCACTGATCTCTGTCACCTGAGACAGCTTTAGAGAAATGCTGCAAAGCCTCATGGGTTCCCTGGCTCCCTATCGCCTGAAAAATTCAAGGTCTACATTGTATCAGTATTTCAGGGCCTTCATAATCTGACCCCAGTCTTTCCCCTCATATGCCCTATATTCAAATTGCTCACCAGTTTTTATACTACTGTTGACTATTTGAAACCTGTTTTAATGACCTCGTTTGCTAGAAATTTACCACCTACAGACAGACACAGCCTCTTGGTAAAGTCTATTTTAGGACTGGCTAAGGAGTTCAGTTACTGAAGGCGGACCCTGGGGAGGGAGGATTAAATTGAATAGGTTCCAATGAGTTTCTTAAAACTTCAGCTCAAAGTCTGTTGAATGTGATGCAGTAAATGAATGAGGTGTCTCTTCTGCATCCTATTTGCCTGTGAGCGTTCTTGGATTTTATCATCCTAGACCTTGGCTCACCTCCGCTAACCCTTATCTATGCGCCCTCATCCGACGCGTTAAGTATGTCTATAAAGCTGATGACCTCCGCATTCACACCTCTACTTCCAACCTCTTCCCTGGTCTCCACTCTGCTACGATGCTACTTCTTACGAGCTCAACCCTAAGCGCTCTTCTCCAGACCACCACCATGTCCTCGGAGGACCACGGAGATGGTCTCCGGACTGGGCTCCTTGTTTCAACCTCCGGCGGCTTCTCACTCCACGCACGGAGCTCTTACCCTTGCCATGGTCTTCGTGGCTTGTGACTGTGTACCATGACCTGCCCTGCAGCCACACCTGCTGGCTTCTTCGCCATTCCTTGAACCAGCAAAGCGAGCTCTTCCTTTGAGGCATCTGAACTTGCTCTTTGCTCTGCCTGGAATGCTTCTATTTTAAGGTTTATTCTTTCACTTAACGTTTCTGCTGACATATCATGTTATCAAAGAGGTCTTCCCAAACCACGCTTTATAAAATCGCCCTCCATCCACGTGACCCTGCTTTAGTCTTTAAAAATAAGCCATATTTACAACCTGACATGTATTTATACATTTGATGTTTCTCTATCCCTATTAGTGTGTTAGCTGCTTGAGAGCAGGTAATTCATCCGACTGCTTCAGTGATTTGTCCCATTCTAACGGCGCCCGGTGCAGAACAGGTATTCAATACATATTTGAAGGATGAATGTGATACAGCTGCTGTTGTATTTTAAAGACCACGTATTTTTACTTAGCTATTTATGAGTAAAGTCCACTCTTACGGTACCAAATATCCTGCCTTCAGATCTGAAAGTATTTCTAATTGGAAACATACAGGGAAGAAAGCAATGCCCAGATATTTCAGCAGATAAAACGAATAGTGAAAATATGGCTGTTTAAAAAATATATATATATATATATTTTTTAACCTGTGGAGAATAGGACTTTGTGAATTACAAATTACAGAGCTGGAGGCATGACCTCAAGTTTTAAAAAGAATACCTTGAGAAAATTAATGAACGTTTCCTGTCAAAAATAATATTTTTGAAAACTTTTTTTTTTACGTATAATAATAACTAAATGGAAAGTTCCTGAGAGAAATGAGTGCAGTCAGGGGGCCATGTACCTGCAGGCGCTCCAGACTTTTCCCAGCGAATGAATGAACACACCAGCAAAGGCACCACTAGCTGCTGCGTTTAAGCCGTTTTTCCATCTGTCTATAACTAATAAATATATACAGATGTAGCCTGAAGAGACAATATTTTGAATAGAGCTTTAAGAAATAACTTGGCATCCTACTATAACAATAACTAGTGTGTGTGTGTGTGTGTGTGTGTGTACACGCGCACACGCCCCTCCCCCCGGAGCCTATTCTATTCTAAAGTATAGAATTACTTTGTTCTGTAGGATGGTTTAGCACAGCGCTGGGATTCTGCAACCCTTTGGAAACCATCTCAGGAAGCCACACGATGGGAAACGGTGTATCTGAAAGCCCACCAGCATATTCTACCTGTGTCTCGGGGATGATGGGACTGTCTTCAGGAGAAGATCTGAAAAAGGTGGACAAAGGCGATGACAGGATGATAGGATTTGGCCTCACAAATCCGCTCAGATCGCAGCTGGGGATGTCATTCTCTTCTTTCTTCATGACCAGGGTATCCATCACATAAAAGACATTCCAGGGAATCCACACCGTATGGTACTGAGTGAGGAATGGGGAGCGTTCAAATACCAAAGTGAGAGAGGCCCCACCATTCGCCACCAAGTCAAACCTAAGAAAGACAAAATACGCTTCGTGAGTCATCTGGATCCCAAGTCATGACTCCCAAGCTCATTTAATTTAACCCCCTTCAAGTAATATGCTTTGCGAAGAAAGTCTCCCAACTTTCATATGAAATCGTTTCAAATCTCCAGGAATATTAAAAGAATTATCCAATGAACACTCAGAGACCCTGTAATTAGATTTACCAATTTATTTACAATTTCCCAAATTTGCTTTATTATCTACTCCTTTTTCAAAATCATCAGAACTTAAGATGTACATAGCCTGCAACGTCACTCCTAAATATTTCAACAAGAATCTTCGGAGACAAAGAACATTCTCGGACAAAACCACAACACTAGCATCATGCCTTAGAAAATGAAATCAGCTATGTGAATATATGACTCCAGGTTTCTGCCACATGGACTCACACAGATTCCTGGAGTCTAAACACTGTTGCCCTTCTATATGAGGATGGACAATAAAGCATGCCGGGTGAGAGAAGACTATCTAGTTCTTATACTTAAAACACTTCGAACAGAGACAGTGCACCGGGACTAACTCACATTCCATCCTGCCGGGTAATAGTATGTCCATATTCTGGGTAATGGAAAAAGGAGACATTTACTCCAATAAGTGGAGTTCCATCGGCAGTTAGTACTTGACCTCTGATGACCGATGCAAGGCTGTGGGAAACGCAGAAGAATTAGAACAAACATTTGTCTTCTCAGGCCAATGTTAGCATGATTTAGAGATAATTTCACCGCGGGATAAAATAACAGTATCACACGCAATCATTATTCACAAAAACTAGCCCTGAAATACTCCCAAGACAGTGTCCCTTTTAATTCAGTGTAATTCACATTCTCTAAATGCCTAGTGTTCCACCCTGGGTTTTAATTCGTTGCAATCTGGTTTTGGAGACTTACCCAAAACCAATAATTTAGAGATGAATTTTAAGATGATAAACTGCTCTTTTTTCCATAAGTCATATGTCTGGTGCTTACATGAAAAGTATACTTTCCAATTAATTCTGAGGCAATCTGCAAATCTGCAGGGACTAAGAAGTACAAGATTTAAGGGGGCAATAAGGAACATTTGTGCAACAACTTTTAATCAACTGCTGGGTCTCACTGCATTAATGCTGCGGAATTGCTGCAGACCCAGGAGTTCTCGAGTAAATCATCTTCTCGGCTCAGCGAGACACGAGACACCTGCTTTCACTTACTGGCTCAGTCTCAGGTCATTACTGCTCTGCAAAGCACCCGTCCCAGGCTTATGCAATCTTACTGCCTTGCCGTTAGCAGTTCCATTTCATTCATTCATAATTTATATTATTTAGTGAGCTCAGCTAAAATTTTAAAAAAGCGCACTTCTCCTTTGCCTTCTGGGGTCTTTTCATTGCTTCTTTTGAAACATTTCCAACTGTGCTAACTAGTTAAATGAAGATTTACTGACTCCTTAATGGGATGTCCTGTTATGTCGCAGACACTGAAGTTGACAAAGTATGTGAACTGTGTCAAAAATGCCTGAAATGGGAAGCTGGGTGAAGAATATGCCCAAAGAGGGAAAAATGCCTCCAAGAAAGCGTTTTCCTCATATTCACGGCCAGCAGCATTTTGTGTGACTGTTGATGTCACTACGAATCTAGATCAGGAAAAGATGCGTTAACCTTTTATTGAAAGGACTCTCCCCGGGTAGGACATGGGTGCTCTCAGACCCTATAAGAAAACTGATGCGATCGTAGAAGGATTTGGCAGCTTGCTGGGACGGTGACTGGAGGCTTTGGCTGATGATGTCCTGCGGGTCGGGCAAGCCACGGCAGTACGGCTGGCTTTGGCAGGAGCTCTGTAAACAGCAGTCCGGGTCCATGCAGTCCGTGAGCCCATCTGCAGGGAGACATGTCAGCCGGTGAGAGAGCGCCCCTCTCCACGCCCGTGCGCTGCCTTTGTTTGCTGGTTGGTTGTTTTCACATCAAACGATTTGTTCCCCGCAACCCCCATCGGAGAGGAATTCTTATGAGGTATGCTTTTTGGAAACAGATGAAATATAAACACAATCCTTGCAGCTGCTTTCAAAGAAAGTAAATGTTTAGATTGGAGATGGCTGAAAAGAATCATATGTTGATTCTGAGTAAAAAATACAAAATTACTAATTAGAACAGTCTATTAGGAGTAGTATGAAGTAATATGGATTAGTCTTAAATGTAATTACTCAAGCCCTCTCTATTTTTTTAAATCCTCACCCGAGGATATTTTCCCATTTATCTTCAGACAGAGTGGCAGGGAGACCGAGAGGGAGAAAGAGAAAGAAACATTGATGTGAGAGAGGCTCATCGGTTGATTGCTTCCTACATGACCTCGACCAGGGCTGGGGACCAAACTGCAACCGAAGTACATGCCCTTGACTGGAATCGAACCCGCCACTCTGTTCCCTGGGCCAACACTCTAACCACTAAGCCAAACCGGCCAGGGCCTCTCTAGTTCTTAATATTTTTTAAAATTGATTTTGAGAGAGAGAGAGAGAGAGAGAGAGAGAGAACGAAGAAGAGGGAGAGAGAAACATTGACGAGAGAGAAACATTGATGAGAGAGAAACATTGATGGGCCGCCTCCTGCACACACCCCCACTGGGGATCAAGCCCACAACCTGGTCATGTGCTCTGACTGGGAATCAAACCGGCGACCTCGAGGTGTGATGCTCAACCAACTGAGCCACACTGGCCAGAGCAAGCCATCTACATTTTAGAGAAAATGCACTAGGAGTTAACATAGGAAGAGTCTACGGTAAATGGGTAGGGACCTACACAGGAGGAAGTTCTAATCTGGAAAGGGTCAGGAAATAAGTCTGTGACATGAAGCTGATACAAATCAGCACAAAATAGATGAGATGAGTCAACCACCTTGCAAGGATATTGCTCTCCCAAGGAAGATAAAAGCATGTTCCAAATAAAATTCAGGCATTTCTAAAATTTTAAACAGGAGTCTGCACCCCTGCATCATAGGTATGCCTCCCTATGATGGAGGTGTTCATTTAAAATGTGGCAAATGTAAAAAAAAAAGTCATATATTGGAAATGAGGAGAAACTATCACACAGAGTTGACCTACAGCGATGGTGATATAAAAAGTCATGGTCAGAAGGACGCTGCCCACGCCTCCTCCAGGAACATCCAAAGGAAACACCAGTCACCAGTCTGTGTAAGCATTTCCTTCGAAACACATAAACCAACCCATCAGTAGACCAGAGGGTCAGGTTATGATAGTTGGATGACATTATCTTTTAAGCTCATTTTTCACTGACGAGTTGACACATATATTTTCATCTGCTTGCCAAGTACATTTCTCAGTATAGATTAATAAAAACCATCGGTTTTTGAAGACTTTAATCACTTTTGGGAGAAGTGACAAAATGGTTTTAAGATCTTCAAACATAAGTTTCGACCCATATTATGGCAAACTCAGTTGAAAATATCTAGTTGACCTCCATACTTTATTTACACAGTGTTTTAAAATAACTGTTATTTATTTATTTTTAAACCACACTAGCCATTTTTTTCTCCTTTAGGCTACTCTCACGAATGGAGTACAAGCCTGCCCCTTCATCACCTGACAGCAAACGGAGACAGAAGATAACAGACCGCGAAGGATGGTACTGCCCAGTCTAGGTGAACAGCAGTGCAGGCAAGGTGAGAAACAGAGGCCAGGGTCCCGGCTCAGTGTCCCACATGACAGAGACGGTGGTGAACACCTGTGATTTCTCCCAACACCCATCTCCCCTGCTTTGGGCAAAGCTCTCATTTGCATACCCATCCCTCCCAGACTCTCAGTCCAGGGACATCTTCTCCTTCACGTCTGTGTCAGATGACACGTGACCTAACTCTGCCAGAGTGGCTTTCAGGAGCGAGAGAAGAGGTCCCTCCATCCCCACCAGCCTGGAACTGTAAAGCCATGAAGCTGCGGCTCCAGGGAACGGGGCCATCCGGGAGCCGGAGAGAATGGACACAGGTCCGAGTGACATCCTCGGGGTTTGTGCAGTGAGCTGCACCTGACCTCCGGGGCTTTTCAGTTCTAGAAGCGAAGGCATCCGCTTCTGCCTAGGCCTGTCTGGGTTGGATTTTCTGTCACTGAAACTGAAAGGACTTTGTCTAGAGACGGTAATCACAAATCTCACTACTTTCTTTGTAGTACAAGGGAAAAGCTTAGTCGGTGAATACCTGAATTAAATGTATGGTGTTGGACTCTTTTTACACTAACGTGTTAATTTTTTCTGTTACCCCAATTTCTGTACACATTAAAACAGGAGTCAGAATCTCCAGTAGGCAGATCATATGGCTACTGTTTCCTTATGATAGTCAGATTGTCACATTGATGCCTGTTGTACTTCTAAAAAGGTGTTAATTGTTTGAAACTGCATATTATTCCTTTGAAAAAAATTTAAAATCATGTTTTAATCAAATCAAATGAAACTGAGCTTTGAAATTTAATATGAATTTATCAAAATATTACTTTCTTAGCCAAAAGGCCATGAAGATGAAAAATGTCTAAATATTTCTCAATATTTCTAGTGGAAGAAAGATGAAACCATGCTGTAGGCTTATTTTTCATGAAGATATATGATAATAATGCAATCCAGTGAATGGTTCCTCCATCTCTTTCAAAGAAACAGAAGCATAGTTATGAAGAGTCGGATTTTTAAAGCAGTAGACTACTGAGCTCTTGCCCCAATATCATCACCGACTTCAAAAAAACAATTGAAAAATAAAACTCCATGGATTTAGAATGCATTTACTTAGGAGAGTATTTTAACACAAACATTTGATATTCTTGCAGGTCTCCCCCTTACATTCCTTCGTTAACATGGTAGAAACTACTCAATAGAGAAAGTACTTCCAAGTACTGGAAAATGAAGGTTAAAGGCTCCCCACACTCTCCTCTTCCCCCATTTTCCCACCTCGTCTTCCTTTAGGCAATATATGCTACAGTGGTCAAGGAGGGACGCTCCAATTTAGTCATTCATCTTTGTTAGTTTATAAAAAGCAAATGTACACCTGGCATGTAGTCTGCAGGTCATAAAACTGCACGAGATTGACACCTTCTGAACTAATCAGTTGGAAATGCATTTTTACAAACCTCTCTGCTAACATCAATCAGAGAAAGAATCTCATTTTCCACAGCCAAGATGCAGGGACCCACTGTTTGTTATTTTTCTACAGAGTTTATCAGTAACTTGCCCAAGCAAGTGACGGATGGTTATGAGACAGGCTCCCTGTAACTTGAGAAAACATTTGTCATTCTTTGTACTTCGATGGCCAGGGCTATCTAATACCACTAAGCTGATTTCCCACTCGCCCAAATGCATATTGTGGCAAAACTGTCTTTGTGGAATACCTTCACAAAATCATCGAGATCCATTTTAATCTCGAGAATATTAGGTGGCTTAAATGTATATTGGTGTAGAAGCCATATCTAGTAGAATTAATAATAAAGAAAAAAGTCGCAAGAAAATCAGAAATGTTCAAATGCATTGAACAGTGATGTCAAGATCAATTAAGACACTTTCTTGCTTCAGGTTAAGCTCTGCAATGTAAGTGGTACCTTGACATACGGGAGATCATATAATTTATGCTTTCACTCAATCCTTGACATGATTGCTCTACTGCTCATTTTTAAATGGTTTTGTTTTCGAATTTTAGGGGGCATTTATTCAAGCTGGGGACAGGGAAACAAGAAGGGGCTGGGGAATGAGCCCTGGCTGGTCTGCTTTGGCTCACTAAGACCTCGGAGGAAAGGGAGCCTTGGGCTATGCTTTTGTCTTTCCTCAGGCTTTCTCAGGGCATTAACAGTGGTTGCCAACCTTTCATAAAGGGCCAAACGATCAATACCTTAGGGTCCTGGGCCCTGTGGTCTCTGCTGCAACTCTGGAACTTCCTTTACAGCAGGCAGCAAAACAGCCCAGTCATAGGCAATATGTAAACAAACGGCTGTGGCTGTGTTCCAATAAAACTTTATGTATAAAACTAGGTTTTAGCCCCGGGGTCAGAGTTTGCCACCTTCTGGTCTTGCTTTCAAGTTTCTACCCTGCTCTGTGTTCCTTTTACTCTTAAATAAGTCTCGATTTTTTCCTGGCAAATTTAAATAAGGCACATTTTCCCTCATTATTAAAATTTCCTAGGTTACCCTCCAGGCTGGCTTTAATCTGCTTGCCAGAACTCTCACTTCTTTCAAGCAGTTATGGATACTTTAATTTGTTTTTTAAAACTGATTTACTGACTGAATAAAAAGTCATAAATCTCCTTTTAGTGAATCCTCATTTATACTCAAAAGATAATGCGTAGCCCCCATCCCCACAGTATTTAGAAGTCCCTTTCTCCATTCCAAACGAGAGGTAGAGTAGAAAGTCTGATACAATATTTTACCTGTGGACTTCAGAACTTGTAAAGTGTACAGATATCCCTTTCATTACCCTTTAAAAATACATTTTTATTGATTTCAAAGAGAAGAATGGAGAGGGAGAGAGATACAGAAACACTGATGAGAAACATCAATCTGCCTCCTGCACGCCCCCCACTGGGCATCGAGCCAGCAACCTGGGCACGTGCCCTGACCAGGAATTGAACCAGTAACTTCTTGGTGCGTGGGACGGTGCTTAACCAACTGAGTCACACCAGGTGGGCTTTCACTACTCTTTTAAGTCACCATTCTGTGGTATGCTTGAAATTCATTTCTTTACTACTGAATTGGGATCATATTCGGGTTTCTGTATCTTCTTAGTTTGTCTATAGCAGCTTTCTTGAGGACTTGAGTCTCTATGGTCACATCATTTCAAAGCCAACGACTCCAGGCTGATCATTCTCCTGAACTCCAAATCCACAAGCTGCCTTCTAGATTCT